GGATGCGGGAATGGCCAGAGCGTTGCGCGAGGCTCCCGGAGCTGCAACATCATTTCCACCAGCAGGACTCTGAGCGTGGGGGTGTCAAGCGGAAACCCGTCGCTGCTGCAAAGGGTGTGTCTGAGCGTCGAGTTGGATTGGCCTGGGCGGAGCAGTGAGTGCAGGTGCTGCATCCCCGGGTGCACCCTAGGTCGCTTGCAATTGCCCGTCTCTTGACTACAGGCCGCGGGGAATCGGGGAAGCACGTCGACAGGAGTGCACCGGCTGGTGGGTTTGGGGCGGTGGTTAATACCCTTAGCGTGGGGCAATGGGGGGAGTGAATCCAGCGGGACCTTGTTGGGAGCTGGCCCAGGGAGTGCCCAGCCCCAGGAACCAGACCAGGGCCGCCCACGTCAGGTTGTAGACAAGGTTGCTTGCTTCGATCCCAAGCTCAACGTCCGCGCAGTACCCGGGGTGGCTCCATGCGATCGAGGCTGCCGGGCAGCCTTGGGGTGGCGCCCATGGACCATTGGTGGGGGTGGAGCCCGGCCACGGTGTAAAGGGTGACTCCCATTGCCGGGTCCTCGACCAACCTCTGCAGGCTGCCTGCGATGGCTTCGCCGAGCTTCTCCCAGGAGAACTCGGGACCAAGCGGGGCAGCAATGCGGTCGGCGAAATTGTTCTCCATGGAGGCCCGGGCCTTCTTGATGGCGTCGTCGAGCCCTTTTATGGCGTCGTCCCCAGTGTGGGAGGGGGCCGCAGGGATCCACGAGGTGAGGTCCTCGATGGGTTCAAACTCCTCATCGGTGTCGAGCGTCCACCTTGTGCCCAGGTCATCACCTTTGAAGCGGACCCATAGCTTCGCGAATCTTCCATACTCTGACAATTCCCGTAGTGCGCGGGTGATCGCTACGTTCTCTCTGTTGGGGTTGTCCATGAATCCCCCAGTCATGCCAGCGGGGATGGGTGGAGGGGATGGGGAGGGGTGGAGGGAAGGCCTGTTGTGGTCCCTGGTCTGGCCAGATTCTGGCGGCGAGGGTCAGCCCAGCTGTGCCAGCCGCGTATGGTTGTCCGCGAACAGTTGTTCGGCTGCAGGAGGAGATGAAGAGGGTAAAGAAGCTCTGAGAAAGGGTTGATGTAATGCTGAGAAGAATGTGAAGAAGAAGGGGGACGACGTGGATGGCACAGGAGCTGTTAAGGCCCTGCCGCGTCCACTGCGGGCATCGACTTTATCACTTCTGCCCATTATCTCCAGCCGTGCTTTGCTCACGGCTTCGATCATGCTCGTGATGTCTACCAGTGAACAGACCGCTAGAAGCACCGCGCCCTCCCTGGTTGCAGATGCACTGGCCGGAGAAAGAGGCAGGAGGGAGAAGGAGAAGGATGGAGGAGGCCTCTACCAGAGGAGGCAGGAGGGAGAACGAGTAGGAGGATGCACCCACCTGCCGCGAGGGCGGACCTCGGACCCTGCCCGAAGCATCACCCACGGTTATGAGAGGTTGACCCGGTTCAGTCAGCAACGGTTCAGGCCGGTTCAGTCGTCAACGGGGGGGTTAGTGGTGGAACGTTCCCGCCGTTATTGCTATCGGACCCCCCGGCATTTCTCCCAAGTGGGGGGCTTTTTGCGCGCGATTTGTCAGTTGTCGCCTGTCCAACGAGAGTATCGTTACTACCACAGCACTACAAACACACTACTACGACTACTACACGGCTAGAGTACGACTACTACTACAGTGTTACTACAGTGCGACAGCGCTAGCGTGTTACTACAAATCTAGAGCATTGCAATTCTAGAGTACTATTGTACTACTTCTACAGCCGTCGCTACGGTAGTACAGGCCTCGGAAAAAATAGCGAACATTCATGCCACATTCATCTGTCAACGCCTCCCCTTCCCCCCAATGTTCCAAGTTGGCGGTGGGTCTGATGAGTTGCACCTCGACCGCAGTCTCCCCCGCGCGTGCCCACTTTGAGTTTGGGGGGCAGGGGGGGTGTTCACTAGTTGTTTCCCTCTACCGTACCACTGCTATTAGTACTACTCCTTCTACTTTGCGACTACTACTACTACTACTACTACTACTACTACTACTACTACTACTGCTGCGACTACGTCTACGACTACGACTACGACTACGACTACGACTACGACTACGACGACTACTACTACTACTACTACTACTACTACTACTTCTACTACTACTACTACTACTACTACTACTACTACTACTATTACTACTACTACTACTACTACTACTACTACTACTACTACTACTACTACTACTACTACGACGACTACTACTATTACTACTGCTACTACTACTACTACCTCTACTACTACTACTACTACTACTACTACTACTACTACTACTACTACTACTACTACTACTACTACTAGGGTCAAACTTCACCTTCGCGTCTACTAAGAATGAATGGGTAAGGGTTCGGGTTCGGGTTCGGGTTCGGGTTCTACACAGTCATATAAAACCACATAGAATAACATAGAATAGTCTGATTTTAATCGTACACGAAGCAGAAGTTCGGAAACCCACAAGTCCGCCATTCGCTGATAGGAAAACAATACAGAGGCTATAGACCTAATAGTACACGAAGATGAGGTTCGGAAGCCCACTGATTCTAATAGTACACGAAGAAGGGCTTCGGAAACCCACAATTTCGCCGCTTGCTCGTAAGAAAACAATACAGGGGCTATAGCGCCAATAGTACACGAAGGTGAGGTTCGCAAACCCATAGTGGAAAACGAGAAAACAGCGCTCCTCTTTTCCTGCTCGCTTTCCTCTTCCTCATCCTCCTCCTCCCCGTCCTCCTCCTCCTCTTCCTCCTCTTCCTCCTCCTCCTCCTCTTCCTCCTCTTCCTCCGAACCATCACGAACCAGAAACGAATAAAACCAGAATGCGCTCTCGAATAAAACCAGAACGACGTCCTGATGAAAACCCACTTTCAAGTGGACCAGAGGGCCACGATCCTCGTGAGGGGTGTTCCCGTATTTGGCGTCGGTGGGCCGTCGGCAGCGCTCCACAGTGGGCCAGGGCCACGATCCATGTGAGAGGTGCGCCGAACTTCAGCGTCGGGCGGCGATCCAAATGTGGCGAGGTCTACGATCCGTGTGAGGGGTGCGCCGATATTGCTCATCGGTGGGCCGTCGGCAGCGCTCCCAGGTGGGCCAGGACACGATCCTCGTGAGCGGCGTGCCGGAATTGGACGTCGGTGGGCCTTCGGCAGCGCTCCCAGTTGGACCAGGGCCACGATCCTAGTGAAGTGCGCGCCGGAATCGCGCGTCGGAGGGCCAGGCCCACGATCCTCAAGAGGGTTGTGCCGAAAAGAAGCGGCTGGCAATGGCGGTTGCTCGAAATCCGACGTCGACACGAAGGACAGGTGTAGAACTGCCGTTTTTGTTCACTTTCTAATGCGAATCCAATCTACAGCCTCTACAGCGAATAGTGCACGAATGTAGGCATTGGCGCGAAAGACACGAAGACCAGGTTTGAAACTACGGTTTTCGTAATTCCCCTTGTAGGAATTCTATTAGGCCTGATACAAAAGAAGAGTACACGAAGGTGAGTTTTGTAGCGACACGAAGACCATGTGCACCCCTACTATTACTACTACTACTACTACTACTACTACTTCTACTACTACTTCTTCTACTACTACTACTACTCCTACTACTACTCCTCCCACTACTACTACTACTACTACTACTACTACTACTACTACTACTACTACTACTACTACTCCCACTACTACTACTACTACTACTACTACTACTACTACTACTACTACTACTACTCTACTACTACTACTACTACTACTACTACTACTACTACTACTACTACTACTACTACTACTTCTTCTTCTTCTTCTACTACTACTACTACTACTGCTGCTACTACTACTACTACTACTACTATTACGACTACGACTACGACTACGACTACTACGACTACTACTACTACTACTACTACTACTACTACTACTACTACTACTACTATTGGACTAGAGTAGTACGAGTAATACTGCTCAAACATTACAACGACTATAGTATTCGAATGCTTGTACTACAGCATCACTACTACTGCAGCGCTACAGTATCAGGGCACGATTGCCGCATTTGGGTATTACAGTCTCAGAGTACCACTACCCCAGCCAGCATTCGAGTATTATCATTAATACAATGTTGGAGTACCTACAAGTCTAGAGCTTTTCTATGCTAAAGTATTAGAGTACCTACAGTAGTACTACCCCAGCCAGTATTACAGTACTACTACTACTACTACTACTACTACTAATACTACTACTACTACTACTGCTACTACTATTACGACTTCGTCTACTACTACTACTACTACTACTACTACTACTACTACTAGTACTACTACTACTACTACTACTACTATTCCGACTACTACGACTATTTCAGTACTAGAGTACCTACAATACTAGAGCACGATAACTACAATCATAATTAGAGTATTGTTATTACGGAGCGTTGGGCTCGTACATATTGTTTTTTTGCGTTATTGTTTATACATATTGTAGTAGTGCTAGTACACAATATTTTTGCATTAGCTTTCAAAGGTTCCATTTGCCGGTGGAGTGGGGTGTATTGTTTGAAGGTTCTTTGTTATTGGTCGTGAGACCTCCCCTTGTGCGGCGCCGTCGCAGTCGTTACCTATCGTTCAAGGGGGGGTGACTTAGTCTCGGCCAGACTTTTCATTCGTCACGGCTGGGGGGGGGGTCGAGTGTTCGCGAGTTAGTTTCGTTATTCGTGCCTCCCGAGACCGGGGTCCCGCGATGCATTGCCGGGGGTGATCCCGAAGCCATGGCTGGCACAGCGCGCCCAGACCCATGGACCCCGTCTGCGGGCCCCGCGAGCCTTCCTCCATCCTCCTCCTCTTCCTTCTCCTCCTCCTCCTCCTGCTCCTCCTTCTCCTCCTAGGAGGCCTCTGAAGAGGGAGGGGCCCCAGCCACAAGTGGCGGCGGCCGCGGCCGCCGCCCCGCAGGACGCGCCACGCGTCGCACCCCGCGCCCCTGGCGCCCGCGGCGGCGCCCCACCTGGCCCCGGCGCCGGCCTCGGAGCCGCGGGCCGGCCCCGCCGTGCCACAGTTAAGACGGGCCTGTCTCTCTACAGGGGGGACATGAACAAATATGCAAAAGATAGTCTGGGGACGATTGTGTTTCTCTTCTTTTTTTGAATATGTTTGGAACATGTTGGGGGTATTGTGTATGTTTCGTCCAAAATCCGCCTGCAGGGGGACACGCCCGACCTAACAGGCTGTGCGTTCATCTGCCACGCGCAGAGGGGGGTGGGGGGATGGGGGAGGGCTTCTTAGAAGCACCCCTGCTTCTTGAAGGCGCGGGCCTTATCTATAGATGTGAGGCCGGCGCCTTCCCAGAAGCAGGCAGCCTCCTTCCAAGAGGCCCTCCCCCTTCCCTCCACCCCCTTCTGCGCACCGCCAAGCTCAGTCGGGCATGTCCCTCTGCAGGAGGAGTGCTCAAAAGTAGTCAAAACAAGGAGTCTGGGGACGATGTTTCGACTATTTTCTATTATGTGTGAATACTGTTTGACTGCTTTGCATGTTTCGTCCAAGATCCGCCTGTAGCAGGACATGCCGACCTAAGCTTTGCGGGTCGGTGCTCCGATGAGAGGGGCTTCGGGGAGAGGGAGGGGGCGATGGGGGAGCAACGCGGGAGAGGGGCCCGGGAGAAGGGGGAAGCGCGCGCCATATCTGGCGTCCCGAAATTCCCCCATTCCCTTCCCGCTGCGCGGAGTGTCTCCGTCCGCCGAGGGGTGTCCCAGCGGACCTGGACCACCCAGATGGCCTCCTCGTGCGATGCGCAGTCAGGAAGTGGGGAGATGTGCACCTTTGAGCAGGGGGCAGGTGGGCGACGAGCAGGAGTCGAGTGAGGAAGGAGGAAGCAGAGCAGCAGCAGGAGCAGGAGTCGGAGGAGCAGGAGTCGAGGAAGCGCACAGAAGGATGACGGCGCGCAGAAGTAGCGACGTGCCCTGCTTCCGTACAACATCGACGCCCTCCGTCGCCAAGTCGGGCGGCACCGGCTGCATGTCTCGGGGGGGTACTGTCCGTGGACCTGGCGCTCGCGCAGCAGATCTGCGGATCCCCGTGCCGTGTTGGCGTGTGCTCGGCGGGAGGAGCAGGATGACCAGGGGAAGGCGGAGGAGGGGAACTTGTGGGGATGACAGCGGCGATGAGCATGTCGGAACCGTGGAGCTTTCGCTCGCGCCGGGGCGAGAGCGCCATTCTGATTGGCGGGAGCAAGGTGTCGATCCTTCGATGAGGCCAGCGCTGCCGCGGGAACACCGCTTTGAACATTGGAACACGTTCCTGTTGGAAAGACGTCTATTAAACACTCAGTAGTGGCATCTTGTGCGTCGAGAGCAGACTGCGGGAGAAAATGCGCCAGATTCGCACATTGTCTGGTGAGAGCGAGTAGTATTCGTATCAAGATAGGTGTGCTCGCGCCATTCCCGATCTCCCACCCGATAGCGAAGGCCTTACGGCCGGTGCCGCCGACCCTGAAGACGATGACGACGAGGACGAGGAAGACGACGTGGAGGGACTGGGAGAAGGACGTGGAGGAAGCGGCGGAGCAGCAAGAGGAGGAGCAAGATGCGAAGGAGGATGAGGAGGGCGAGAAAGAGCAGGGGTAAGCTTGAGTGGAGGGATTCAGCAGTAGGATGAAGAGGTCGAGCACCATCCCTTCCACTGCGCTGATTTTTGTGTATCCCAGCGGACCTTGATGCTCCCGATGACTCCATTGTGTGATGCGCAATCTGACGGGAGCTGTGCACACCGGAGGAGAAGTTGGGCGAGGTGGTGGGAACCTGAAGGATGAACAGGATGAAGAGGAAGAGGAGGAGGAGGAGGAGGAGGAGGAGGAGGAGGAGGAGGAGGAGGAGGAGGAGGAGGAGGAGGAGGAGGAGGAGGAAGGGGAGGAGGAGGAGGAGGAGGAGGAGGAGGAGGAGGAGGAGGAGGAGGGAAAGGAGGAGGAGGAGGAGCAGCGGCGGCGGCAGAGCGGGAAGAACAGGACGACGAGGAGAAGGCGGAGGAGATGGGAAAGGAGAGGTGCGACAAAGACGGGGAAGGAAATTGGATCGGGAGGTGTGGCCCGCGCTCGTGCGAGAGCGTCCTCTTTGGATCGACGGGAGCAGAAGGAGCGACTATCCTGACTGTGTGGGATACTGAACTTCAGCGAAGACGTCTCAAGCGAAGCATTCAGTCTGAGACATCACATGCTGAAATCCAGCACTGTCAAAGAACAGCAGCCAAGGTGCTGAAATAGGGAACAGTTTGGGTGCGAAAGGGCTCGACGTTCCACAGGTCCTTCCATGATTGTTCCTCTAGCCATCCTCGTGCACCCAGGCTCTTCTGGTGCCAAGCAGGGGCCTCGTTCCTTGTTTAGCGTCCCTCCGAATTCCAGCAGCCAGACTGTAAGAGGGGGGGAGAAGCTGTGCCCCGCTCGCACGGTGTTCCTGCTGAGCAGTTATTGGGTGAGTCTTGAATGTGTGAGGGGGAGGGGGAGGGGGAAGGGGGCCCTCGGGGCCTTCCCTCGCTTCCCCCCCCTTTGGGCCTCCTGGGAGGCCCTCGCCGCCGCCGCTGGATTCGCCTCGAAGTTCTGGCCGGAACGCACTCTGGGCAATGTCCAGGGAGCAGCGGTACCGGTACCCGTTTCCCCAGGGCCCGGGCGATCCTCCGCTGGGAGGGCGGGGGGGGGGAAGCGGCTGCACGCAGCAGGCCTCGGACCCCCGCTTCACCCCCCCGCCAGGCACCGTCCTCGGTGCCCCTGGCCGCATCCGCCGCGCAGCGGGGCGCCGAGGAAACTTTGCCACTCGCGGCTGGCTTGCGACCCCGCCTCCCCTTCTTTCGGAGGCCCAGGGTCGAAGTGGAAAGAACTGCACAGACACAATTTTGTGGCGCTCCGCGCGGATTTCTTAGGTCCGTGCTGGGCCCCCCTCCCTGGCGCGCAGAGCGCGCCAGGGACGGCGCCAGCACCAGCATCGGCGGTTGCGTCCACCGAGGGAGACTGCTGCAGATCTCGGCGGTGGTGGTGGTGCTCGGGCTGCGAAGGGGGCCGAGGCGTGACCACCAGCACCAGGATCCAGGATCGCCCTCCCCTGGTGCAGGCAACGCCCGATGTGTGTGTGTGTGTGTGTGTGTGCGTGTGTGTGTGAATGTGTGTGAATGTGTATCAATGTGTGTGAATGCGTATGTGTGTGTGTGTGTGTGTGTGTGTGTGTCGATTCCCGGGCCCCCAATGTCGGCTCCCTCCCGAGGAACGGGGAGGGGGGAGGAGTAGGGACCGTGCACCTCCCGGCGCGCCTGCTCAGACGACGGTCCGCTGCCACGAGGCGTCTGGAGCACTACCTCTCCCTAGCCCTTACCGACGCCGACACCAAGGGCGCTTACGAAAACGGCCTCAGGAGGAGGAGGAGGTGGAGGAGGAGGAGGATTGTGGAGGAGGAAGAGGAGGATTGTGGAGGATTGTGGTGGAGGAGGAGGAGGAGGAGGGGGAAGGAGGACCTCCCCATCCTCCCTTCTCTCAGGCGATCGCAAACATGGATTAAGGGGGGGTGGATTAGGGACGGGTCCCGTTTCCATGGAACATCGCGGATTTCCGCCGCTGAACGAGGCGGCAACAGCCGCATTTTGGGGAGGGCACCTCCCCCGATCCATGTCTGCGCGCCCCCGATTCTCCCCCGTCTGGCGGAAAACTGGCCCATCCAGAAAAGCACCTACATTCAGGAGGGTTGAAAATGCACGGACGCAAGCCATCGCCGATTCCCCTGAGTCGATGGGAGAACAGGGGAAGTGGGGGGAAGGCGAACATCCAGCAGGTACGGAAAACCACAGGGGAGCCCAGGGGGTTTGGGCACAGTCACCCGTGCGCCCCCCCTTAGGGGGGCCCCTTTGCTACACGTGGAGACATCAGCCTTCGGAGGTCCGCGTGGATCGTCTGGCGCGCCTGCCCAGGAGCGGGACGGGGGGAGGCCCCGCGCCGACCCACCGACTCCGCGCGGACCTCCAGAAGGCCATGCTCAAGTCGGGCACGCCCCCCTCTGCAGGAGGAAGATTCCAAAATGGTCACAACACAGTCGGGGGACGATTTGTTTGTTTTAATGGTATTTTTGGGTATCTTGGGGGTATTTTTGGGGTAGGTTCAATTTTCGCCCAAATCTCCTTGTAGGGGGATATGCCCGACCTAAGGCTATGCTCGCGTGCTGCTTGTCTGATCCTCCGAGGGTGCCGCCGTGGACGCGGCCTCGGAGGCGACCTCCGAGCCGACCGGCACGATGCGCCGGAGCAGGCGGGGCCGCGGCAGGGGGTCGCTCCGAGGAAGGCAGGGCGTGGGGGGAGCGTCCAACTGAGGAAGAGGAGGAGGAGGAGGCGGAAGAGGCGGAGGAGGAGGACCTTTGGAAACCCAAGAGTCATCAAGGATGTTGGAATCCACCCTCCCTCCAAGCTCTCTCTTCATATGCCCCTCGAACGGTTCATCTGCACTGAGGGAACTGCCTGGTTGGAAGACAACCGTCGGAAGATCCTGAAGTATGCCAAAACATTGTTCTCTGGATTCCAACGCCACGGATCAACCTGATTTGTTGCGTCTTGGCGATCTTGAATCGTGCCAGAACACCATTCCTGGGACTTCAACACCGCGAATCAGCGTAATTGTTGCACCCTCATTATCCTGAATCCTTCCAAGACGTCATTTCTGGTTTGGTGATCATGGGAATAAGCGCTGTGCGCGGCGGTAAGGCGAGAGCGACAGTTTGAAAAGGAACCGCCCTCAATCCGTGAAATCTTGCAAATATTTACAACGAATGTGCGCGGCGCTAAGGCGAGAGCCACATTTTGAAAACGGCCCGCCCTCAATCGGTGAAGCTCTTGCAAATGTTTACAACGAATGTGCGCGGCGCTGAGGCGAGAGCCACATTTTGAAAGCCACCCGCCCCCAACATATGAAACTCTTGTAAATGTTTGAAACT